ACTGCCCACAGCACAATAAAATGAGGCAGATACTTTTTACAGACTTACATAAGGATAATCCTAATTTTATTTCAATGGATCATCCCGATAAATTTCTTTACATTATGACAAACTGCCACATTAAGCTTGGTGTGTTTATAATGCAAACAGGTGTGTATGTATTAATAAAACACCTGATTCTGCACTACCTTTTAATTGCCTTTTAATTAATCTGTTATTTGAATTTTTTGATTATCCTTTTTACTTTTTTTTATTTCACTTGACTATGTTCATCTTCTATAGAAAGAATAATGTCAATAAAGTTAAAGTTATAATGAGTCTGGAATTTACTATAAATTTCTAGAATGTTCCATTACCTTCTATTGCCTCCTACAGTGTTCTATTATCTATTCAACCAGTTTCTAAAAAAAATAGAATATTCCACCCAGACACAGTACGGTTCTAGAACATTCTCAGTGACACGGAAGTGGGAAATAAGTCGTATGCGACATATCCATTTGTTGTTATGGTATTATTGCACAAAGAAGATTCGAAGAGCAAATATTTTTTCACGTCGATGTAGCATTACAAGAAAAAAAAAACGGTTGCAGCAGCACATACATATGCGTCGCTGATGAAATATAGTTGGGTAGGCGGGAGCGGCCGGCGTCCCGAAGCCTTCAATAACATGGGTATACGTGTGTAGCTGAACAATATATCACCACAATGTGTGCAACTCTCCAAGTTCACATAAACATAATATCTCGGCGTAACAAACCCGTTTTTCTCTTCTTTTAAAATATTTATAAAGATACATATACACTTAGTAGCGAGGTAGCGGGGACCAAACATTGGTCAAATCGTAAAGTTGCGTACTATTTTATTATTGAAATATAATATAAAATTACAATATAGCTAAAAAATATTATAATTTGATATATATTTTTTATAAATCATCTTAAGTCCTAGACTGGTGTAAGATACATAGATAAAACATAGTGCACTTCAAGTATTTGGAATCACCATAACGATAAATGGAATCAATACCCACGCCAAGAATAATAATCACGTGATTCATTTCATCCACACGTAAGCAATTAGTCTTTACTATAGTTTGCTGATCACATGGTACTAGGGAGTCATCACGAACGAAATAAACAATTTTGATAACTCGCTGATAATCAAATGATCCAGACACCCCCTCCGGAGTAAAATAGAATAGTCATTTGAGAACAATACTACACATTTGGTGCGCTGTTATTTAACCGTTGCGCAGCCGTTCCAATAATCACATGGATGTGATGGAGGTTTCATCACGTGACTCGAATATTAGTTATTGTAAATTACTTTGGGATAATAAGTACCCG